ATCTGAGACAACATCACCATCGGGATCGAGATGAACTAAACCGAACACGAAGTTTATTTGTGAAAATGATAAATGATCTAATGTGTGAATATCCTGAGCAGGCAATAACGACCAAAGACATTGGTAGTTTTAACCTAGCCCTCTTATGGGCATCCATTGGAAATACAACACCAGCTATATACTGGACACTGTTCTATTTACTGCGTGGATCGAGGACGATCATGGATCTAATTAAGCAAGAAATTGATCAACATCTGTCTCCATTGACTGAATATGACCATCTTCGGGAAGACAATAAAGATCATCAGTTGGATCAGTTAGACAAATGCATTTATTTGGACAGTGCAGTTAATGAAACATTACGTTTAGTAGCGACAGCAATGATAATAAGAAGGTGTTCGAATGATACAAAAATTATATTAAGTGACAAGCAAACATTGGAAATACCGAGAAACGAAACAGTTGTACTATTTCCTTGTGCGTCCCATTACGATCCGCAAGTATTCAAAGATCCGTTCGATTATAAATATGATCGATTCTTAGCGTCTAATTTGACTACGGAACAAAAACGTTCGTTTCTTCCATTTGGTGGAGGTCGATTTGTGTGTCCTGGAAGATATATGGCCAAGAATACCATTAAAATTTCGATTGCGTTTGTCTTACAGCATCTTGATATTGATTTCTTGAATGACAAGCATCAAGTATTAGCTACACAAAAAATACCCGATTTTCAAATCAGTCGGATTGGATACGGAATTGCACCACCACGAAAGGAACATAAAATTCGTTACCGTTTCAAGTCCTAACTTTTTCATGACTGCATTGCTCTCTATTCACTTTGTACTTTCTTCTATTCTATAGCTTTGAATAAATAAGTACCAGCAGAATTTAGTTGTCTTTCTCTACTGAAACTAGATCGGCTCACACAAACCCCCTCAACCTATAATCAATAGGTTGATACCTCAACATCAATACTTGTACTGCGAAACTCCGATACAGTGGAATGAATTATGTAATTAATTTGAAAAGGTGCAGTAACTCTCTAAAAGATTGTTAGTTGATGCTTGTTTAATCATATGATCTTCAACCGTCAAAATGCGGTAAGTTACCTTAATCAACTAGTGACCTGAATTGTTCTTGAATCGAGCGTGTGTTATGTCATTTGTCACAGTCGTCACTAACATTCCTTCCTTTTTCTGCTTTTTCTATTCATTTCTCATGACCAGAAAGAATGCTGACTCAGTTCTCGTTGAGTCAACATTCTTTCTTCATTGATATATAGTGTTTGTTGGTACACACCGGGAGCAGTCTTTTGTTTTGACGTTGTGTGTGATTTTATTCTTTCGAATACAATCTGTGCAGGCTAGCAACATGTACATGAGCATCCATTGGGTAATCTAATTTCCTCTCGCATAAAATCCAGTTGACAGTCAAATTTATTCAAATGTCTCAATAGGATGAAGTAAAGAATTGCTATACACACTTTTATTTCATTTTATTTTATAATTCTAACAGAAGCAATATAAAACAAATTTTGTTTTGGTTGTCTCCTTTTAGCCACAAATAACTGCCACTAATAGTGGCTAAAAGCAGGAGTGGTAAGACTTCTGCCACAGATAAGAAAATGTGTGAATCTTACTTTCCCATTTGTGAATACCAAACAAAAGGCAAAGAAGTAAAAACGATGTCGCAGAAGTATGTTTCTTGCTCAGAGATCCAAGAAAAAATGTGAGAAACTAATCGAATTTTATATAGTTAGATTCAGATTTTCATCT